ATGAGTCGGTTCCGACTCGATGGCACCTGACAACACACAACAAGTTTGCCTTTAAGCTTTCATTGATGATCTTTTTAGTTTTAGGTTTTATATTTAGGATTTGATTCATCTTGAATTTTTGTGTATGGTTCTGAGATACAGTCCAGCTTCATTTTTCTGCAAATGAATTTCTAGTTTTGCCAGATCAGCTGTCTATGGGTTGTCTGTAGGTTGTAGCATTTACCTCTGACCTGTCAATTCTGTTCCATTGGTGTATGTGTCTATTGTACCAGTACCAGGCTGTGTTGACTGCCAGGGCTGTGCAAGTGGGGTTTGAGATTAGCAAGTGTGAGGCCTCTTACTTAATTCTTTTTCAGTAGTGCTTTGCTTACCCAGGGTCTCTTTGCTTTCCATATAAAGTTGGTGATTAGCATTTTCATGTCTGTAAAGAATGTTATTGGAATCTGGATCAGGGTTTTGTTATATCTGTTGATAGCTTTTTCATTATATTGACGTTTCACAATTTTAACAATGTCTATCCATGGGCATCCACCACTTGTCTGTCAGTTTGTCTTACTGTGGTAGCTAGTGTGTTTTCCTGTGATGCTGAAAGCTGTGCCACTAGTATTTTAAATTCCAGCAGGGCCATCTATGATGGACAGGTTTCAGCTGAGCTTCCAGACTAAGACAGACTAGGAAGAAGAAGAGATGGGCTATTTCTAAATGTTTAGCCTCTGAAAACCTTATGAATAACAGAGAAACACTGTCAGATGCCACCAGAATATTGCATATTAAAATATGATGAGTAGCACCAGAATATCATCAGATATAGTGCTGGAAGATGAGGCCCTCAGTTTGGAAGGTACTCAAATTACAACTGGGGAAGAGCTGCCTCCTCAAGGTAGAGTTGACTATGATGAGGCGAATGGAGTACAGTTTTAGGTACCTCAATTTGCTAACGGGGTACAACTCAAAATGGGGAGAAACAGCTGTAAACATCCATGAATAATCAGGACATGGAATGTACAAACTATGAATCAAGGAAAATAAGTTGTCACAATGAATAGAATGCATAAAGATCGATATCCTAGGCATTGTTGTTATTAAGTGCTGTTGAGTTGGTTCTGACCCATAGTGACCCTGCATAGGGTTTCAAGGAGCAGCTGGTGAGCATGAACGGCCAACCTTGCAGTTCAAACCAACTTTACATTCTAGCTCATTAATCCACAGTGCCAGACCAATAGGTATTGGCCATCTTGAATCTGACATTCATATGGTTTCCTATGCTGAGAATGACAAATCGAAGAGGAATGGTGTCTCATTCATCATCAAAAAGAACATTTCAAGATCTAACTTGAAGCTGTCTGTGATAGGATAATAGCCGTAAACGTGCAAGGAAGACCAGTTAATACCAGTATTATTCAGATTTGTGCACCAGCCATTAAAATCAGTAACGATGAAACTGAAGAATTCTACCAACTTCTTCAGTCTGAAATTGATCAGACATGCCATCATTATGTATTGATACTTACTGGTGATTGGAATGCAAAGTTAGAAACAAGGAAGGATGAGTAGTTGTAAAATACGGCCTTGGTGATAAAAACAATGCTTGAGACCACATAATGGAATTTTGCAAGACCAATGACATATTTATTACAAATATCTTATTTTAAAAATATTAAAGTCGACTATACACTTGGACCTTAGCACATGGGATATATGGAAATCAGATTGACTACATATGTGGAAATAGATAGTGGAGAAGCACTGTACCATCAGCCAAACAAGGCCAGAGACAGACTGTGGGATAGACCATCAATTGCTCATGTGTAAGTTCAGGCTGAAGTTGAAGAACATTTTAACAAAGTCCATGAGAGCCAAAATAAGACCTTGAACATATCCCACCTGAATTTAGAGATCATCTGAAAAACAGATATGATGCATTAGACACTGATGACTGAAGACCAGAAGAGTTGTGGGAAGATATTAAGAATATCATACAAGAAGAAAGCAAAAGGTCATTAAGAAGAGAAGAAAGAAGGAAAAGACCAAAACAGATGGGAGAAGAAACTCTGAAATTTGCTCTCCAGCCTAGAGATGCTAAAGAAAATGGAACAAATGAGGTAAAAGAGCTGAAGAGAAATTTTCAAAGGGTAGCTCAAGAAGACAAACTGAAATATTATAATGAAATATGTGCACAGACCTGAATTAGAAAACTAAAAGGGAAGAACACTGTCTGCATTTCTCAAGCTGAAAGAACTGAAGAAAAAAATTCAAGCTTTGACTTGCAATATTGAAGGAGTCTATGGGCAATATATTGATTGTTGCAGAAAGCATTAAAAGAAGATGAAAGGAATATGCAGAGTCACTGGACTAAGAGGAAATGATCGATGTTCCTACATCTGAAGAGGTAGCATATGATCAAGAGCCAATGATACTGAAGGAAGAAGTCCAAAGTGCAATGAAGGCATTGGTAAAGAACAAGGCTCTGGAATTTGATAGACTACAAATTGAAATCTTTCAACAAACTGATGCGGCACTGGCGGCACTCATTCAACTATGCCAAGAAATTTGGAAGAGAGGTGCCTTGCCAACTGATTGGAAGAGATTCATATCTGTGCCCATTCCCTAGAGAGGTGACCCAACGGAATGCGGAAACCATTATTCAATATCATTAATATCATATGCAAGTAAGATTTTGCTAAAGATAATTTTAAAATGGCTGCAATTTGACAGGACACTGCCAGAGGTTCTAGCTGGATTCAGATGAGGATGTGGAACAAGAAATATTGCTAATACCAGATATAACTTGACTGAACGCAAAGAATACCAGGAAATGTTTATCTGTACTTTTTAAACTGTGCAACGGGTTTCCACTGTATGGATAATGACAGGCTGTGAACAACATTGTGGAGATTGAGTATTCCAGATCACTTTATTGTGCTCATGAGGAACCTGTACGTAGACCAAGAGGAAGTTGTTCGAACAGAAGAAGGGGACTGAATGGTTTAAAATCTGGAAAGATGTGTGTCAGGGTTGAATTCTTTCACCATATTTATTCAGTCTGAATGCTGAGCAAATAATTTGAGAAGCTGAATTACATGAAGAATGTGGCTTCAGGATTGGGGGAAGACTTATTAACAACCTGCAATATGCAGATGATACAACCTTATTTGCTGAAAGTGAAGAGGACTTAAAATACTGATGAAGATCAAAGACCACAGCCTTCAGTATGGGTTACACCTCAATGTAAAGAAAACAAAAATCCCCACCACTGGACCAGTAAATAACATCATAATAAATAGAGGAAATTTTGAAGTTGTTAAAGACTTCATTTTGCTTGGATCCATGATCAGTACTCATGGAAGCAGCAGTGAAGAAATTAAACAACATATTGCATTAGGTAAATCTGCACAAGACCTCTTTAAGTGTTCGAGAACAAAGGTGTCAGTTTGAGGACTAAGGTGTGCCTGATCCAAGCCATGGTACTTTCAGTAGCCTCATATGCATGTGAACATTGGACAATGAATAAAGAAGACTGTACAAGAATTGATGCATTTGAGGTCTGGTCTCCAGAATATTAAAAGTACCATGGGCTGCCAGAACAACTACCAAATCTGTGTCGGAAGAAGTGTAGCCAGAATGCTCTTTATAAGCCATGATGGTCAGACTTTGTCTCTCATACTTTGGATATATCATCAAGAGGGACCAGTCCCTGGAGAAAGTGAAAGGTCAGCAACAAAGAGAGAGACCCCAATGAGAAGGACTGCCACAGTGGCAGCAGCAGTGGGGTCAAGCATAACAACGATGTGAGCATGGTGCAGGACAAGGCAGTGTTTCATTCAGTTGTCCATAAAGTCACTATGAGTTAGAACTGTCTCAACAACAACTAACAACAACAGCCAGCCATGAACAGGTATGTGCATGCATTTATGGAGTTCTCTTTTAGTTTCTTGTAATAGTGTTTTGTAGTTTTCTTTGTATAGGTCTTTTGTTTCTCTGGTTAGATTTATGCCTAAATATTTCATCATTTTTCCATGAACTTTTAGAAGCTCCCTTGTGTGATTGTTTTACATTTTCTTCAACTTGCCAATGATTGTTGGATATTTCGGTTGCTTGCCGATTTTTCACTGATGATTAATGGAGTCCTGCTGTGGCGCTGTGGGTTAATGTGCTGGACTGCAAGGTCGGTTTGAACCACAAGATTGGCATTTTAAGCTCACCAGTCACTTTTTGGAAACCCTATACAAGGTTACTATGAATCAGAACTAACTCGATAGCACTTAACAACAACAACAATGATTAATAATGCTAAGAACATCTTAGTACCAATAGCCTTTTTGTCTATATGTTGTTGTTAAGTGCCGTTGAGGCCATTCCAACTCATTGCAACTCTGTCTAGGGTTTCCGAGGAGCAGTTGGTGGGTTTGAACTATGGACCTTGTGATTAGCATTCTAGTGTTCATCCTACAACATCACTCTTATATAATCATTTTGTTTTTGCAGAAGGCACAGAAAAGGACAAAGGGTAAGAACTAAATTATATTTAGGATGAATCATTTAATGTTCCACGCTAAGGGTTACCAAGGCGAGAATGGGTTTACCTCCTGCCTACACTTGTTGAAGGAGCGGCTGACACAGGATTGCATCCTGGGAGTCTCTCATTTGGTCTGCTTTAACCTCCACCTGGTTACTGTCACTTCTTGTGTTCCTAATTTTGGATTGTCCTGGCTCAGTAAATGTGACTCAATTGCCTTACCTTAGTCATTGATGCCTAACTTCAGAATGCTGAAACAGTTGAGGCAGGTAATGTAGTTGAAAGAGGACTGGCCTTTCTCCTTGGGAGCAGCAGGATCAAGTTTCACATCACCTTTTCCTTTGCTGGCTGGTTGCAGAGCTCCACTGGTTCCCAGATACCAGGCCCTTTTGCCAGCGAAAGTGAGCAGGCAAACCTTTTCCAGGCCACCTTCTGCTAGTCATGCCATCTGCATCTTATTCTCTCTGTTTTTCTCCTGGTGCAGGTATGAACAGGAGCAGGCCATAATCCAGGATGAGATCTCTCAGCTGGTCAAGAGGGAAAGAGAGGCAGCCACCAATCACCTGAATGTGGGCCTTCAGTGGGAGGGGAGCAGCAATGACCAGGAGAAGCAGAAGTCAGCCCAGCTGGTGAGTGCAGTAACTGAGAAGCTGAGGGGCTTGCTTGGTGACTCAGGTTCCCTATTGGTTATACTCAACTTAAATTCTCCAGGAAGGGTACTCTTCTAAAACCTAGGGAGTTGGGTTTTCTATTCTTGCCTCTGTTCCTAATTTGCGTTGCTTCCGTTGACATGGGTTTTTAAAAGTGTGTGGGCCCCAGATCATACAATAAGGAGCTAGGACAGCATCCTAATTGTAAGTGCTGCGGTGGTGTGTCTGAAGGATGTGAAGGGAAGGAACTGAGGTTTGAGGCCATGCAATATAAGAGATGAAGAGCATAAGTTAGTCAGGCAACCTACGTGCACATCCTAGCATTTCACTTGGGAGCTTGTGCACATTATTGAATATTTGTGAAACTTGGTTGAGTACCTTATTTGTACAAGGGATTATGATAGGGACTAGAGCGGAAAATCTCTGTCCAGTGCTGAGCGCTATTCCTGGCAGATAATGAAAACATGCTGTTATTGTTATTATTATTAATATACTTAATTGGTGGGAGGCTATTAAGATTCCCTCTGTGGCAAGTTTATTTCACAGAACAAGAAATCTAGATGTGACCCCCAGTGCTGATTAATTCAGTAGCTCAGTAACAATGTCAGGGACCCAGGTTCCTGTTATCTGTTCACCCTGCCATCCTCAGTATTCAGTGTATTTTCAGGCCCATTTCCCCCATAATTACAATATGGCTCTACAGTTCTTTTTGTAACATGTAGATATCTTTATCAGCAAGGAGAACTTTCCCAGAAGCCCCCAGCAGAATTCCTCTGGAATTACATTAGCTTGAATTGCACCAGGTGCCCATGGCTAAGCCAGTCCTTGGCAGAGATTGGACATCTAGACAGAATTAGAACTCTGGCAGCAAGGAAGGGAAGGAGAGAGAGTTCTGGGCAAGTATCTAATTACAACTGCTCCAGAGACCTTTTTTGGGTTTCAGAGCAGGAATGACTTTGCCCTGTTTTTTAAGTGGGCGACTTGAGACACACGAGTTGAGGACAGCATGAGATCATTACTGGTGATTGTGCCTTGATGCCACCGTGCTGACTGGGTCTGGGCCTTTGCTTACTAGTTTGATTATTGCGCAAATGGTTCTTGAGTGACCACCATGTTAAAAGCATGTTTCTAAGAAATGGTAGTGGAATGAGGCCCTCTGGAAATACAAACAATGCACTAAGAAATGGTAGTGGAATGAGGCCCTCTGGAAATACAAACAATGCAGGATCCTTGTCAAAAGGAAGTTTGCTGTTAGTGGGGAAAATTGGCTTTAACAAAAAAACTATGCGAAAGACTTAATCATTTATGCTGCTGTGTGACATCAAGTCAGTTTTGTCTCATAGCAACTCTGTGTAGGGTTTTCGAGGTTGTAAGTCTTTACGGGACTAGAAAGTCTCATCTTTCTCCCAGAGAGTGGCTGGTGGATTTGAACTGCTGATCTTGTGGTTAGCAGCCCAACACATAACCCCTTACGCTACCAGGGCTAGTGAGCATTAAATCTGATGTAAAGTTGATATTATTTGGTAAAATGTAAAGGAAGTGGTATAAGCTGATGGCTGGCCTTTGACCTGAGTCTTTTTTTTTTTTTTTTTAACTTTTTATGGTGATTTGAATGAAGACTTTATAGAGCAAGTTAGTTTTCCATTTAACAATTCATGCACATTTTGTTTCATGACATTTATTGTAGTACCTACAAGTACCAGCACTCTCCCCGCTTCCTTTCTGTGTTTACTATTTTTATTTGTTCATTCTTATCTATTCCTGTTTTTAAGTACCATCAAGTTGGTTCCAACTCATAGTGACCCTGTATAGGTTTCCGAGGAGTAACTGGTGAGCTTGTACCTCTGACTTTGCGGTTCAAACCACCGTTGCAGTCCAGCGCGTTAACCCACAGTGCCACATACTTTTGATTTTGTATGATTGATTGATCTAAGGAATGTATTCTTCCTTGTGTGTATTGTACATCCTATCGACCTGTCCATTGTTTGGTTGAAAGTTGAGCCATGGGGGAGTTCAGTTACAAGCTTGAAGAGTGACCAAAGACCATACATAGTCTCTGGGGTTTCACCAGTCTCCATGAAGCTAATAAGCCTGCTCTTTCTTATTAGTTTGAGCTTTGTTTCACTGTTTTCTCATACTCTTTCTATCCATGACCCCTTATTGTGATCTCTTTCAGAGTGGTAGCTAGATGTGATCTAGCTCTTCAGTTCTCAGGGTGGTGGACACTGAGATTCTCCTGGTCAGTTCATCCTTTGAACTAACTGTTTTCATGTGTCTTTGATTTCCTTCACTCTTTGCTCTGGATGGTGTTGACCTGAGTCTTGAAAGATGTGTGGCATCCCAGACTGAGGGAACAGTGAATTAAGATAGTTCAATGTGGAAAGAGGTTTAATGAGCGCTCTGGTGGAGACAGGTTCTACATGGCCTCGGGCACCTCGTGGAATTGCCTTACAAAGTAATCTACAGTGATTCTGAGACTGTAGAAGATTCTTAGAAGGTTTTAAAGATGGGAGTGGTATGATCTAACTTGTGATTTTAGAATCCTGGGGCATCATGCTGAAGACTCGATTGAAGCAGTGAGAAACTGCGACTCTGTTTCAGAAGCTCTTGCAACAGTCTATGAGGGGAAGTTTGTCATCTATCTGCAGGCAGACTGACAACCAAGCATAAGGGACCATCATTTTGGAGATGAAGGGTTAATCGATATGGAATGAACAGAAAAAGTTGACCCCATGGGACAGTCATTTAGGGATGCAAAATCACAGCCTACAGGTATAGCTAGCTCTTCATTCTCACCTGGAATGTGCTAATTACAGTGAAAGAGAATTCTTAGCTTCCCTTTCCTCTACTTGCAAAGGAAAAAGTTGGACTCTATCTCCTCTGGACTGTCCCTAGGGAAAGAACTTTTCTTTTACTGAAAAAGTGGGAAGGAGCCTAGATGAATGGCAATACAGGTTTCTGTGTGCGTTTTAATGAAAAGTGACTTTGGAATAAAGGTGAAATATCCTGACTTGGATACTGGTGTGGCGTTGTAGGCTAATGCGTCGGACTGCAAAGCTGTTTGAACTGCAAGGTCGGTGGTTCAAACTCACCAGTTGCTCCTTGGAAACCCTATACAGGGTCGCTATGGGTCGGAATCAACTCGATGGCACTTCACAACAACAACAATCCTTACTTGAGTTCTGGTGTGGTGCTGTGGATTAATGGGCTGGTCTGCAAAGTCTGTTTGAACCACATGGTCAGCAGTTCAAGCTCACCAATTGCTCCTTGGAAATCCTATAGAGGGTTGCTGTGGGTCGGAACTGACTTGAAGGCACTTAACAACAACAATCCTTACTTGATGTTTTGCCAGATCTGCAGTTGGATAATGCCCTTCTCTGAACCAGAATTCTTAGAAAACAGAGAAGCAAGTTACTCCCTTTGTTTTGAAAACATTAAGTCATTTTGAATGTTGCTACTTTTTTGCTGGTTCAGCCTCCATTTCTCCATGCTATTGGTGCTCTTGGGGATTTATCGGCTTCCTACTGTGTATAGTCTTGATGAGATTGTAATTCTAAAGCTCAGCTTCTCTATGAATACTAGATCTCTTCATTCTGGAGACACGAGGCAGTCAACTCCACGTTGAGTGGATACTGCAGCACCATTTTAAAAGGGAGCTCCTTTTGGGTTGGTGTGGTTGGCAAGTGGTTTTGCTGCTGTTGCTGCTGTGTGTTGTTGAGTCAGTTCCAACTGATAACGACCCTATATAGGGTTTCTGAAGCTGTAAATCTTTACGAGAGCAGAAAGCCTCATCTGTCTCCCACAGTGTGACTGGAGGATTCATACTGCTGACCTTGTAGTTAGCATCTCAACATGTAACTCATAATCCCTCAACTGTACTTTAGAGAATTTAAGTAGTCAGAGAGAGATGTCGAGAATAACCTGAACAAAAGCATGAAGATTTTTCTTTCCTCATTTGAGTCTTCCAAAGTGAGGCTTCATTGACAGCCTGCTGGGAAGAACACTTTTAAGGTTACTGGAGGAGTCCTTTTGTTGGGCTGTTGGGTCAGCACTGGACTGTTAACTGAAAGGTTTCTGGTCCAAACTGACCAGCTACTCCTTGCTGTGAATCGAAACTGACTCTATGGCATGCCATCATCACCACCAAGGTCCCTGGGTGGTGCGAATGGTCTGTACTTGACTACTGAGTTCAGACAGTGAATAAGGAAGACTGTTGAAGAATTGATGCCTTTGAGTTATGGTGTTGGAGGAGAATATTGAAAGTGCCATGGGCTGCCTAAAGAACCAATAGATCCGTTTTGGAAGAAGTGCAGCCAGAGTGCTCCTTGGAGACCAAGATGGCCAAATTTCATCTATCATACTTTGGACATATTGTCAGGGCGGACCAGTCTCTGGAGAAGGATATCATGTTTGGTAAGGTGAAGGGTCAGAGAAAAAGAGAAAGACGCCCACCGAGATGGATTGGCAAAGTGGTAGCATCAGTGATCTCAAGCATGGCAATGATAGTGAGGTTGGCCCAGGATTGGGCAGTATTTCATTCTGCTGTGCATAAGGTCACTATGAGTCGGCACTGACTCGATGGCACCTAACAACAACAACAACAACAACAACTAAGTTGAGGTTCAGTTCTATCCAACATTGGGAAGAAAAACCTGGCAGTAGAAATGCCTTCATAAAGATTATAACTGAGAAAACCCTATGAACCATGTTTCTGCTCTGTAGCATATGGAATCACTTGTAGTTAGAATTACCCCACAGCGTTGGGTTTAATTTTGATGTTTTTAGTGGTCTGGTGGGGATTGGATCATAGTACTGTACATCCCAGCCACAAAGGGACAGGTTGAATACTGAAGTGATCTAATGTGGTCATTGATCTAATGAGTTGGCTGTTCATTTCCCCTTTGCTGTATTCTCTGACGTGTTGCCCACAGGTCCTATGTCCCTGAGTTTTGTCTGGAGGATTTCACTTTAGGTGTGTT